AGGCAACGGTCATGAAACATTTGGAAAAAGATTCGTACAAAACGAACCTACTCATCTCTTTGTGTCAATGTATCTAATCTTCATTCATTCATTTCATTTCACCTTTACGGTAAATAAAATCCGAGACTTACGCCCACATGCTCAAAGAAAATATGGACTTCACAATTGGACGTTTTACTACACCGGTATGCTTCGATGCAGTTGTGATTCCGCATTTGTACCATATACAAATGTGGGAGTCAAACTTATGCGACTCTACGGGTGATAAACGTTCCATTACATATTACTGGAACAAAATGTGACAGGCTGAACGGCAATCCAGAATATTTCCAATAAAAGTAGAGGGATGAAATATACATCAGTTTGTCGTGTTGTAACATGAAATTATTTTTTTATCGATATAATTTCTCTCAGGAAGTTCAGGGTAAATAATATTAATAAGACGAATATATTTTAAAGATTTTGGTGTTAGGGGTCGTTCACAATTGTCAACATTTTCACGAGCGTACAAAACGTACACTTTTTCAGGACCCCCTCCCCCCCCTCCCAAAAGTGTACAAAATAAAATGTTGATTTCTCAGAAGAACTATATTCAAGAAATAATACACTCTACAGTACAAATAACATCGCCAAGCAACTAGTTAAAAAAAAGCCAAAGTAAAACGTGGTAAAACTTGAGCAAAAAAGCCAAAATCCACCAAATTCAGAAATAAAAGAAATCGACATTTTTATGTTTTCAAAAAGCGTACGCGGACCTCAGACCCCCTCCCCCCTAGCGTACAGTTTGTACGCCCGTGAAAATGTTGACAATTGTGAACGACCCCTTAACGAAAATATCACGGCATTTCCCTCAGTATCAGAATTGTGTAAATACAATGACTATACAGATGCATATTTCATGTAAATTAAAGATTTTAAAAAATATATATGTGGCGGTAGATGACAAATTACTTGCAGTTTGTATACATCTGGCAACCGTAATATCACTGTTTTGAATAGTTAGGGAGGAAAGAACCATAAAAGTATTTAACATGAACTAACAATTATCTCAAATATGCGCATTTTATGCAATATACGAAACAATTTAACAGTTCAGAGCAACCAACACTGATTCAAAATCGTCACTCTTATCAACGCCACTGTGAATTACCCCTAATGTATCATGAGCCTCTAAACATTAAGCAAATCTTGCTTAAGCATACGACCGTTGTATCAAGCAGGCACTCAATTACAATAAGGGCCAACCACAATTAAGAAACTTGTCCATTAGAAGAAGAGACAAAAACCTGCCATGTCCTCGGTTTAGAACCCTATTCCGTTCTAGCTCCCGTCCCTGTATCTGCCCAAGGAGAGGTCGGGAAGGGACCTGGGTCAGGATCCTCAAAACTACCCGTCCATTACAGGGTCGAGGACGTTGTAAACCAACCATACTCGAATAAAAACAAACAAACAAAAACGTAGTAAGCGCATTGTAAGGCCCGTGTTTACATTGTAAGTTAATTCCACTGACTACCAAGAGAGGGCAGACCGGTAGTCGATTGACCAATGAGCAGACAGCCTACTAGACAGAACAACCAACGGAAAGCCATGGCTGTCTTATTGCCACGCTTCCAATGGTCACCAACACCATGGAAGGCCCAGCGACTGTTTCCCAGCAGAATGTTATTTCTGAAGATTCAACCAATGTTATAAAAGAAATGAACTGTGATTAATTTTCCTGAATAACTCCTAAATACTTTCTACAGTCCATGCTCTATTTACAAAGAAAAAATGATAATACGAACTAGTAAAAATAACATAAAATTTTAATATACATTTTTATTTCCTATAATTCTAGCATTGTGTTTATGAAGTCTCACATATCACTTCGTGCTATATACATTTCTCTCGGAAGCATCATGCAAAAAACATAATTTGATGCGAGAGTAAATCAGTTTACTCATACATACGGAGGAGTTACTGATCATAAGAATAATAATTCTAGAAAGCGTTGTTTAGCTAGATATTTGGCATCAAAGGTTACAGTAAAATAATTAATGCGTGTCCATTTCATGGAGAGAAACTAAAGGTTCACGATAATCGAGTATTCATGCTGCAGTGCTCTGCCATGAAGATAACCAGAAGTTACCAAACCGTTGTTTGTTGTCTGTCAACTCAATTTACATTCAGCTTATATTTGATTCGAAATAATGATAGAGTATAGAAAAAGAAATACTGGACAATTAAAATTCTCCAGTGTTAAAGGCCTGTTAGAGTCAAAAAAGGTTTCTGTCGACTATGTAATCGGGAAATAAACCATAGTATATCTAGTTTCAAACCCGTATGAGAATTCTGGAGCATTTGTTACTTACAAGGTCCTTAACAATGTGTGACGCCATGGCGGCTAATTTTGTTTCGAGTAAGACCTTCGGAGGCCTTACGACATTGTAACGGCTCCGATTAGAGATACAACATTGTAAACTGTTTTAAGCACCCGGCCCCTGAGTTCGGGCTGCATACTCAAAATTTAAGCCGTTCCCCTCCCGTCCTTAGTGAATAGTAATGAATCCTAAACACTTCGGTAATGGAACCGATGGATCAGTTTCAATTTTTATCTACCGATTCAAGCTGAATTCTGGTAACATTCCGGTACCACTGCAATAGCATCCTAATGTCGTCCCAACCATACCAATGCTGTCTGAACAGTTCCATTGCCATTCCATTAACGTTCCCACTGTTATAAAAGTACGCCAAGTTCCATTACCATCACCCCAACCTAGCTAGAGATCACATCACAGTATATTGATTATAGACACAGCTAATGTAGACTGTCAAGGAATATTTTTCGGTATGGATTCTACCAAATGAACTTTTAGGATCAATGGAAACTTAGTGGGGACTTTTTGACTGGTATTTGATATATGTGAAGAAACACGAGCATATAATTCCTGACTTGTAAAGCTTGCTGCTGTACTATTAATTGAAAATATAAAAATGAAAAGATGACAGTTATAAATAATAGCATCAATAAAAGCCATAGATAATGTGTTTAAAACACAAAAAGCTCGTGTTTACATCTGAACGTCACCGTAGCGTTTCAGACCGTATTCTTTGTAATGCATGAAAGTATTCCATATTTTCCAACGGAACGCAAGGCTGGTAGCCGGCACCACCTGGTTCTCCCAGGAAACATTAGGTCCAAATATGCATCTTTTAATAGTAAATTCCCAGCAATATGGTACATTGGAAAGATATTGGTTATTTACATAATTATATTTATTGCAGTAGAGGTGTGGATATGCTAGTGATTTTACAAATAATAATATAAGATAAATGAAAGGAATATTGTTTCCCTAAACAAAAACATTAATGTTTAAATAACTACAGTCAATTCAATTATCTATTGGGATGTATCAATGAATAAATCATCATCATCAGGTGCCATGCCGGCAGGTGTGGGCGATCATGGCTCTCCAACCTTCACGATCTTTCATAGAGTGTAGCAACTCGGTGTTCTTCGCTGTTCCTAGCCATGATGTCAGATGGTCTAGTAGCTTCCCATGCTGCCGGCCACGATCCCTTTTACCATGGATCTATCCCGTGACCACAAGATGTTCTAGGGTCTCCTTTCGTGTAACGTGGCCTACGAATCTGGCTTGCCTGGATCTGATCTTGTTCAGCAGTTTCCGTGTTTCTCCTGTCTCACCCAGAACTTGTACATTAGTTTTCTTTGCAGTCCACAGTATTCGTAACATCCTCCTCCAGAACCACATGTCAGTTGCTTCGATCTTTATAGCAACTTGGTTGTCGATGGTCCAAGCTTCACAGCCATACATCAGGATTGGTTCGATGTAACACTGGAGAAGTTGTTTGGGGATGTTGAGCGAGATGTTACGGTTCCTCATTACATTGCTCATGCTCTGGAATGCCGCTTTTGCTTGGCCTATGCGACAACTAACCTCGGTTAGGCAACGCCCATCAGATGTAATTAATGCACCAAGGTACTTGAATTTTTCTTCTTGTTTAAGGATGGTCCTGTTCACAGTTATGTTGCATGATGGTATTTGCCCCTTCTTGATGACGACCAATGTCTTGGTTTTGGTGTTATTAATGGAGAGACCTTTCCTTTCGCTTTCAGCGATGACTGTATTTAGCAGAGACTGCAGATCTTCTGTCTCTGCCAGCAGGACTGTATCATCAGTGTACCGTAAGTTGTTGATGTTACCACCTATCTTAATTCCATTTAAGCATTCCAAACTGTGCATTATAATTTCACTATATATTGAAAACAGGTCTGGAGATAAGACACATCCCTGGCGTACCCCTCGTCTCATCTTCTGGTACTCTCCGATCTCGTTGTCGACCCTCATAGCTGCTATCTGTTCCCAATATATGTTCTTGATGATACGGAGGTCTTTTCCGTCTACGTGCAGTTGCTCTTGGATGTTAATGATTTCATTGTGTCTTACTTCGTCGAATGCTTTAGTATAATCTATAAAGCACATGTAGATGTTTTTCTGTACTTCCAGTGACCTTTCAATGATGTTTCTCAGAATATATATAGCATTAGCCGTGCCCTTTCTTTCCACAAAACCGCATTGTTCTTCAGTAATCTCTGGCTTAATTTTATTCCTGACTCTATTGGTGATAATCTTCAGGAGTATTTTTGTCACTTGACTCATCAGGCTTATGGTCTGATGATTTTCACATTCTGTTGCTCCTGGCTTCTTGGGTAGAGGGATGAAGACAGACTTTAAAAGGTCTAGTGGCATCATACCTGCGTCGTAGATCTTGTTCAACAGAGATGTCAGTAAGTTGATGCCATATTCATCTAGGGCTAGTATCATTTCTAGAGTGATGTTATCAGGCCCTGGAGCTTTGCCTTTTTTCATTTTTCTTACAGCATTCCTTACTTCATCTTCCATGATGGGTGGACCACTCATTTCTAAGTCGATAGTACATTCCGTGTTCCTCTCATCATCAAAGAGTTCAATCAAGTATTCTGACCACCTCTCCAGAAT